TGAACCATACTGCAACACACATGATGTAACAAAGTTCAGGTTTATTTCACACCAGCGGCAAACTAAAGTTCAAATGTAACATAACAACTAGTTCACACCATAGTTCAGGTATAACATGGAAATAAAACCAATAGAGAGTCTGCTGCCACTTCACATAGAACTACTGGTGATGAATACCGAGTCAGATGAGCAGAAAATCGGTGATCTCATTGCCTCGGGTGCCCGAGAAGTCGATGGTGGCGTTAATATCGACAAATACTCAACAGAAAGTGCTTTACATGTTAGTTAAAGCACTGAGCATAAGCTGTTCTGGTAATTTTTCGCAAAGTTAAATCACGAGGGTTCCTGATGTTACTTGGCGTGTTAAAAATCGGGTGTTGGTTAAAGTACAAAAGTTCCACCAATTATGACAATTTGTTTCTATCCTTGGTTGAATGTTGGCCTGGTCATCTATGAATCTCTTCTTTTATTGGCTCCGGGTGATACGGATACCTCAATTATAGACGGGGCCACAATTTTTTGCACCTCTGAACCTGTGCTGGAGCTTATGATACACCAGACATACATGCTGTTTAGAGCACCCATGATGCCTGTTTACAACATATCAAGATATCAAGATAGGATTTTTTGTGGCGTGTAGGTCTTGAACCATACTGCAACACACATGATGTAACAAAGTTCAGGTTTATTTCACACCAGCGGCAAACTAAAGTTCAAATGTAACATAACAACTAGTTCACACCATAGTTCAGGTATAACATGGAAATAAAACCAATAGGGAGTCTGCTGCCACTTCACATAGAACTACTGGTGATGAATACCGAGTCAGATGAGCAGAAAATCGGTGATCTCATTGCCTCGGGTGCCCGAGAAGTCGATGGTGGCGTTAATATCGACAAATACTCAACAGAAAGTGCTTTACATGTTAGTTAAAGCACTGAGCATAAGCTGTTCTGGTAATTTTTCGCAAAGTTAAATCACGAGGGTTCCTGATGTTACTTGGCGTGTTAAAAATCGGGTGTTGGTTAAAGTACAAAAGTTCCACCAATTATGACAATTTGTTTCTATCCTTGGTTGAATGTTGGCCTGGTCATCTATGAATCTCTTCTTTTATTGGCTCCGGGTGATACGGATACCTCAATTATAGACGGGGCCACAATTTTTTGCACCTCTGAACCTGTGCTGGAGCTTATGATACACCAGACATACATGCTGTTTAGAGCACCCATGATGCCTGTTTACAACATATCAAGATATCAAGAGACAAAAACCAAGAAGGCGATTCGTGTTTATGGGTATTGTATATTTTGCAATTTGAAGGGTGACATTGTTTAGCCTCTGGCATATCACCATCTGATGATTCGCTGTTATTTTTATGCCCATGCTGTATCATTTTCTGGTTTGGAACAAGGTATCTTAGTAAGATCACGGCCTACACTCTTTATTCTGTTAGCATAATTCTGCCCCTGTTTTTAGCATTCTGCTGATGTTACCTACTTGCCATACAGTGAGTTTCATTGGTTTTCGGAGATTAAGCGAATTGTTGCGTGTGGGCTGAGTGTAGAAACACTAATTTTATGAGTGTGGTTGGCTTTATGCTAAGCATTGCTTCTCTACACATAGAAGGCTTTCGGTTATTCCAAGACGTCGACAGATGTTCGGTGGGAGCACTTTCCCTGGCTGATTACAGGGGGGTAAGCTCAGAGACTCGCTAATCGTCTACTCGTAAAACCAACTGGAGCAAGCATCTTACACGCTAAGCAGTCAGATAAGTCACAAGCGTGCGTTTTTTGGTGCTGTCCTAGCTGAAAAAAGGAGCTAATAAAGCAGAATTGCAATTTGAAACGTATCTTGTATGTGTAGGCATAGCTAATGCGTTTTCAAACAATTTGAGCACGCATTTTTTTGTCGTCTTGCAATGTCTTCCCAAGACGCTATGTCGATCGATTATGACACTTTGCGTGATTAAAAACTTGCCATTATATGTACTGTTATTGTTGCTGTTCTTCTTCTTCTCCAGGTAATGATCGGTCTGAAAACATGATTAACTGGATCCAGGACAAGGAGTGATATGTACCCATCACCTTGGACAATTTGCAGCGTGAAACGTGTTTTTCGGTTTCCAAGTAGCCAGTGATGTAGAATCCATTAACTTGCATTGGCACATCTCAGTCTCATCTGCAACTTGTTATTCCCCCTAAGGCAATGGAAGCCAGGGAGGTGGAGGGAGTTCCCTCCGAGAGCTCGTCGATCGACCGGGTCCATCATGCCGTGCCCAGGATTGACACCGCGAAAAGACGGAGCATGAGAAAGGTGGTGGAGGAGGAGGAGGCAGGCAGGCAGGGGGCACATGATTCAGATAACTGTTCTTGTTCCTGGCCCCGGGGCTTTGGGGCACCAACTTGCTCGGGGATGGGACCTCGGATTCGAATCTTTATTCCCGGCTAAAAGAGATCCATGCTGGTTTAAGACTTGACACTGAATCTTTGCGAGTGCGCGCTAGGTAGGATTCCATGCTTTTCTTTTCTGGGGGAATGTTTATTCCTAGCTCCTTCCAGCTCTCATCACTTGTTAATAACACTGATTCTTTAAGGCCATAGTTGCCAATTACTTAAGACAGAGGGTTCTTGGAATCACTAGCACAAACATCACATGTATGGTGGGAGCATTATCTTAATTAACCTCTCAAGATGCAATGGGGGCAAAGTTGCTGAATAATGTAAGATACATATGGCTATGCGCCAACCGCCGCATCCGAGCGGTACGTAGCGAAAACGCACATTTGACAAATATATAGAATTGAAAAGATATGGAAAATGCAGAAAGAGATATGGTTATTTCTCTTTCAGAGTTTGAGGAGTGCTGCCTGCCTGCCTGCCCACAAATCCCACGTCCAATCAATCATGTGAGCCCAAAGACTATGATTCCTTTTGTGCACTAGGCGCGGGGTTAGGAAGCAGGATAGCCTGACATGATCAAGCACTTTCCTCATATAGGATTGGAAGAGCTAGCTGAGGTATAGCATAATCATGGCTCATATGTCATAATTGACTTCTGAAGGGGGTAGCTGATACAAGAGATGCAGATAGATAAGACAGGCTTTCACAGAAAAGCATGGGCTTAATTAGCTAGAGACGTTACAAAGCTCTCCCTCACAGCATATGTTTTACCAGATCACCACCAGTAGCTGTACTCTTACTGTTACTACCACCACTGCTCAGAGCACTAGACGACCACACCACCACAGCATCAAGATCCACCCATCTCTTGCTCCAGCGATCAGTTCTCGTCGTCGCGCTGCATGCCGGCTTCCCCGGCGGCGGCCGGCACCGAGATGGTGACCGCCTTGCCGTTGGCCTGGGCCTTCTCCAGCTCCACCTCGTCCAGCTCCACCATGTCCATGATCCTGCCGTTGCCCTCCACGCCCTTGATCGCCACGGGGATCTCCGTCGCCTCGATCTCCTTCTTCTCCACGTCCTCCTTGTGCTTCCCCCAGAGCACCGAGTAGAGCCCGGCCACGATCAGCACGGACCCGATGATCCTGGTAACCAGAAACGGCAATAATAATGTAACTGACTGTTGCTCTATCTTGTCTCTCATGCATGGAGATGAGGATTGAGATGCACGTACCCTCCGAGGTAGATGTTCTCGGCGAGGATGAAGGAGCCCATGATGGCCACCACGATCATCATGAGCGGGCTGAAGGCCGAGGCGAAGACGGGGCCCCTGCTCTGGATCACCAGCCCTTGCACGTAGTAGGCAATGCTCGACGTCACGATACCCTGCACACATACATATTCACAGAGATTCATGGTGAGTACCATCCCATGTTTAATTATTGTCTCGATCTGATGGGGGTGCTTGCATGGTCTGTGAGGCTTACGGCGTATGCTGCGGCGAGGAGGTTCATGTCAAAGCCGATCTTCCAGACGTCGGTGGTGTGCTCCATGGCCAAGGTGACCACGATGGCCTGCAGGGTGCCCACGAAGCAGATGAGCGTCGTCAGGGTCAGCGGCGCGTTGTACCTCGTCAGCGTCGGGCCCTGCATGCACCAAGCACTAGCTGTTAGGATTTTCAGTTCATGCATGCATGGTCACATGGACGGGAGGCCGGGAAGCGAGCTAGGTATATATAGACCTGGAGGATGAAGAGGGAGGCCCATGCGAGGGTGGCGATGATGAGGAATATGGAGCCCTTGAACCAGTCCTTGGCGGCGGCGGCGGCGTCCTGGTGCGGGCCGGGGAGGTGGGCGTGCCTGGACCAGATCATCTCCACGGCGCGGCCCTTGTAGAGCGTCATGAGCATGGCGCCGGCCACGGTGACGAGCGTGCCGGCCACCTTGGCCATGCACCTGGGCTTCTTGAGGTCCACCTTCTCCATCCGGAAGATGACGGCCATGACGAAGGTCATGGCGGGGAGCATGTTGCTCATGGCGCAGGAGAAGGTGGGCGAGGTGTACTTGAGGCCGGCGTAGTAGAAGTTCTGGTCGATGACGGGGCCCATGAGGGCGAGGAGGAAGATGTTGAGGAGGACGAGGGGGGTCATCCGCGGGCGGGCCTTGCCGCGCTCCAGGAAGAGCGCGAAGGGCGCGATGGAGAGGGTGGCGAAGGCGTGGCGGTACACCACCAGCACGTAGTGGCTCATGCCGTGGTTCAGCGACACCTTGGTGATCACGTTCATCCCGGCGTACCCGAACTGCAGCGAGATCATCGCCACGTACGGCTTGCACCGCTGCATCAGCGTCTCCCCCTCGCCGCCGCCCTGCTGCATCGCCATTGCTGGCTGGCTGGCTGGGTACGTGAAGTGCTGGCGGGGAGTGGAGTGGAGTCGAGGAGTGGTGTGGTGTGCCCGTTGCTCCTTCGCCTGAGGAATGGCAAGCGGCGCGGGCTCGTATTTATAGCCGTTCGCCGGGCCGCCGTGGGGGCCAGAGCTTACGTAGGTGGCGGGGCCGGCGCCGGTCGGCGGCTTCGCTCGCTGCATGGGATGCTAGCTTTTATTCCCACACTCGTGTGAGTGCTCGCGTGCCACTGGTGTGTTGTGAGGCAGAAATCACATATCTGACCTCAGGCAGAAATCAAATCACAAACTGACCTGGTCACGAAAAAATTTCACTCTGCTGACCCTTTGGTGTGGCGCCCGACAGCCGGGCGCCGCACCCTACTGTGCAGCGCCCTTCCCTTAGGCGTCGCACATCCTGCCAGCGTGGCAGCCCTGGTCCAGTTGCGGCCCCACACGCACCTGTGCAACGCCTAAGATCTAGGCGCCACACACCTGTAATGTGTAGTGCCTAGCTCTTGGGCGCTGCACAGTCTGTGTTCAACTTGGGCTGGCCCCACCCTCTCTCCCCTCCCACCCCCACCCCACACACCCCCACCCGACCCAAACGCTTAGACTTGCGGCCCTCCTCTC